AATCTATCAATAGCATGAGCCTCTATTGATACAATTTGTCTTCAAATAATGTGTTAACTCATTTGTCAAATGTTTGAAATTTTCAATTGCATCTATTGGTTATNGTAACTATAAGAAACACCCAAAAAAAAAAAAAAAAATTGATTTCAAACCTTTTTTTTGGGGTTTTCTTTTAAATGCCTATATCTTGTATTAAGTCTTGCACTGATTAATTATCGGATTGGAATTAGTGCAGAAAATTGTAGCAAGGGTCTTAACACCCACCTTTAAAATCTGGACCAATTTATGTGTATTTCGACTAATTTTTTTTTCAATCCCATTAAAAACATACTATCTCCACCGAAATTAAAATATTTATAAGTGATAATCTTAGTGCTTGACAATATTCGAACTCAGGATCAGGGATNTTTTTTTAATGATTTTACTCATAATATCGATTTTTCATATAAATTTACTTTTTTTTTATTTTAAAGATTATATATAGAAAACATATTTCACAAACATTTTTTTTATATTAAAAAGCTTGGTTTAACTAATATTTACTATGTACCATGAATTGAAAAAACTACGAATTTTAAACTTATATAACACAATTAATTGATATTACGAAGAAAATTGAAGTTCAAAGTGTTGTGGTGTCATCTTAGTGGGAGTCTAATAAACTTTCGCTTGTATTTTTAGACTCGTTTCTTTTTCTTTTTTTTTTTTTGTGGTAAAGTCTTTCTAGAACTAAATTTAACTATTTTTATTAGCGTTTTGGGTCAGACCCAGGGTCCGAGACATTACCACTACCGATATTAGCCACCTGAGCCCAAAAAAAGAAAAGAACGGACTGAAGGGGTGAGTTTATTGGCTGTACAAAGTTAAGGAGATTTTCTAAGAAAAATAATCCTAGAACTGAAAATGATAGAAATTTAAAATTGAAAGAAAATATATTTTTATACATATATTTAGTTAGAATGAAAAATTTGCGAGAATATTTTAAATTTTTTTTATTTTATTGTTTGAAAGAAAGGAAAATTACTAATGAGATGTTGACTCAGTGGGTAAGAACTTGAATTTCTTTAATACTTAAGTTTGAATTTTCATAGTTACAGTAGCTTATTGGGACTAAACATATTTTTCAACGCTTAGAGCATACAGAGGGATTTGATCTTTGGTCCCGATGTAAGTATGATGAGATCTTTTGTAAATAGTTGTGTGGTGCTGAAGAACAATGTTTACTGCTAGATATGTAGAGTGATATATTTGTATATCTATTCTAAACATAAAAAAAAAAAAAGGCAAAGTTATAAGAATTTTTTTTAATTGTCTAAATTACTATTAATTATATTAAATCAATTTTAAAAGGAAAAAAATATGTATTATAGTTAAAAGTTACAAATTTTAAAAAAAGTGGTTCTTAACTTAATTTTGGGATAAGCATTTGCACCAAGTTTTTTTGGGTTAAATTATATAGTTAATCAAATTCATACCAATGTTTTTTAAATGAATAATTGATAAAATATTTAAAAAAAAATAAGGATACTTTAAAAAAATAGTTATACATTACAATTTTCTTATGTTGTTTACAAGAAAAAAAGTTGGTTAGTTGTGAGAAAATTTAAGTATGAAATATTTTTATTTTTTTTTATTTTATTCAAATCAAACATATAAAAAAATTTTAAATTTTTATTATTATATTTTTTGCAATTATCTTGCTAAACCAGTGTACCTAAGTTACTCATATCCGCCACAGAAGAAATTGTTTCATTAACAGACAAAATTACAAATACACGAAATCTGGGACGGAATGTGTCAAATCAGTCATTTGACATATTCTCTGCTCCTAAAGTGGAGCCGTACTTCGCACCCGCTAACGTACACCACAAGATATATTAAAGTTTTTTTATCTATAATATAAAATAAATTTTTTTTAATAAATTTATTATACAATCTAAAATACATTTATTCAATCATCATCGATATCTTTCTTAAAAGGATTAATCTCATTTTATAGCTTGAAAGATAGTTTTAATCTCAATTTGCACCCTCAAAAATAGAAATTTGTATCAATGTGCACCCTCAAAGATAGAAATTTGTATCAATGTGCACCCCAAAGATAAAAAATCTCAATTTGCACTCTCAAATATAGAAATTTGTATCATTATGCACCTAAAATTAAATTGATAAATTATACCTAGATCCTCTCATGTTTGTCACTTAATCATTTGAACCTCTTTACATTTAGAATATTACTCCTACATCTCATGACATTTATGCACGTACAACATGTAACCCATTTTCATTGATATCTGTTAATATAACCGTTAAAAAATATAATTTTATCCTAATAAAAAATTATAATTTCATATTACCCTTATTTTATGGGTCCAATATACTCTAAAGTTCAAAATCAAGCTTACCATTTAAATGTCTAATAAAATGTAAATATTTATATAATGTTTTTCATATTTTCCTTTTTAAAAATATCTACATTCTATTAGACATTCAAATGGTAAGCTTGATTTTGAACTTTAGAATATATCGAATCCACAAAATAAAGGGTAGTATGAAATTATAATTTTTTATTAGGATAAAATCATATTTTTTAACGATTATATTAATAGATATCAACGAAAAGTGGTTATGTTTACACATGTATAAACGTCATGAGATGTAGGGGTAATATTCTAAATGTGAAGGGGTTCAAATGATTAAGTGACAAACATGAGGGGATCTAGGTATAATTTATCAATTTAGTTTTAGGTACACATTAATACCGATTTCTATCTTTGAGGGTACAAATTGAGATTTTTTATTTTTGAGGGTATACATTGATACAAATTAATATCTTTGAGGGTGCAAATTAAGATTTTTGATCTTTGGGGGTGTACATTGATATAATTTTCTATCTTTGAGGGTACAAATTGAGATTTTTAATCTTTAGAGGTGCAAATTAAAATTCGAACTATCTTTCAGAGTACAAAATGAGATTAACCCTTCTTAAAATTATTCGTATTACAGTACTTTCAGTATGGATTATCTCTATATTTTCTTTTTTTTGTTGGATCAAAATTATATTTGCATTGGAATTGATAAAATTCTATCACCTTTTCCAAAGTGGTAGTTGTGCTTGTCGGAAAAAAAAAAAGCAATGTTATGTTTAGGAAATATTTTTATTGGATCTTTATATTAAATAATGTGACATAATTTTTATCATTAAATAAGTGAATCATATTAATATTTAATTATTAAAATTATACTATATCCATTTGTTTAGTGAGATAATAATATAAAATTTAAAAAAGTAAAAGTTTTTAAAATTTTCATCTTTTTGTTTAGTATGAAATAGAAAATGATAAAAAAAATAATTTTATTTTATGATTAAATTTTTTTACAATTAACCAAATTTTTTTCTTGTAAAAGAAAATAAGAAAAATTGTAATTTATAACCAATTTTCCATTTTTCTATTGTTTTTATTAAAATATTTTATTAGTTATTAATTTTAAAAAATATTGATATGAATTTAATTAATTATATAATTCAGCCCATAGACCTATGTACTAGTGTTTGTCTTAAAATTAGATTACAAGCCAATTTTTTTTAAAAAAATTTAACTTTTAACTATAATTTATATTTTTCTTCTTTGGATGGATTTAATATTATTAAGGATAATTTAGATAGTTAGAATTTTTTTTTTCTTGTAATTTTTATTTCTTTCAAACGATAAATTAATTTTTACAAATATTTCATGCTAACTAAATAAACGTTATTTTTTGTTAACCAAACAGAGCCGGCATGAAAGTTTGACAAAGCCGCACCATCTGATCTATTTTTTTAGCATAACCTTCAATTCAAATCCGACTCGCCTATGATGCCCGTGGAAAAACTTACACTAGACAACGTCGAACTCAAAAGCCAGTTAGTTCCGTTCATATTACACTGAATGAGAAAGAGAGTGGACTTAAACGACCTTATAAGTCCAAGTAAGAATAATAAAAACGGCATTGCATTCATTAATGTACACTGCTACTCGTGAAAAATATAGGTGCGAAGTTAGCCCCACATTTATGATTTTACCGCCCCCCCCAACAAAAACACAACACCCTCTCCTCTCTCCCATTATATAACCACTACACTACCCCATCATCAACCGCCAATTCCCAAACTCCCACCGGTCTCTCTCTCTCAATCAATACGAATATAAACAATACATGTTGATGCATGCATTTATATAACTGTCTCGAGCTATATTTATAAATTGTGTGTTTCTGTGTGGAAAGAAGGAATGGAAGGCGTGCCAGTAAGTGTATCCAGAAGATTACCGGGGTATTGGAGGATCAGAGGCTATGAGCGGCTCAGTGGGACTGGTCGGAGACGGAAGACTACTCGGTTGGCGTTAGGTGCGGTCGGTTCGAACCGGAGAAGGCGGTTCTTGAGGATAAAGGTTACTCCCAAGCTGAAGCTAAAGCTGAAGCTGAAGCTCCGATTCTCGCCCAAGAAGTTCTTCTGTGGCCTGAGGGACGCTTACGTGAACACGATGCTGAGGTTTGCTAATTCCAGAGTGATCAATGGTGGTGGTGGGATTGTTGGGGATGAGAGGATGATCATTCAGATCTACAAATCAATTGTGATGGCTCAGGGCCAATTGGTGCCCCTTGATGCAGCCAGAATTGGCACCGAGATGGTCTGCCACCGGTAACTATAAGAAACACCCANTACAATTCAAATCCGACTCGCCTATGATGCCCGTGGAAAAACTTACACTAGACAACGTCGAACTCAAAAGCCAGTTAGTTCCGTTCATATTACACTGAATGAGAAAGAGAGTGGACTTAAACGACCTTATAAGTCCAAGTAAGAATAATAAAAACGGCATTGCATTCATTAATGTACACTGCTACTCGTGAAAAATATAGGTGCGAAGTTAGCCCCACATTTATGATTTTACCGCCCCCCCCAACAAAAACACAACACCCTCTCCTCTCTCCCATTATATAACCACTACACTACCCCATCATCAACCGCCAATTCCCAAACTCCCACCGGTCTCTCTCTCTCAATCAATACGAATATAAACAATACATGTTGATGCATGCATTTATATAACTGTCTCGAGCTATATTTATAAATTGTGTGTTTCTGTGTGGAAAGAAGGAATGGAAGGCGTGCCAGTAAGTGTATCCAGAAGATTACCGGGGTATTGGAGGATCAGAGGCTATGAGCGGCTCAGTGGGACTGGTCGGAGACGGAAGACTACTCGGTTGGCGTTAGGTGCGGTCGGTTCGAACCGGAGAAGGCGGTTCTTGAGGATAAAGGTTACTCCCAAGCTGAAGCTAAAGCTGAAGCTGAAGCTCCGATTCTCGCCCAAGAAGTTCTTCTGTGGCCTGAGGGACGCTTACGTGAACACGATGCTGAGGTTTGCTNAGTTCTTCTGTGGCCTGAGGGACGCTTACGTGAAGACGATGCTGAGGTTTGCTAATTCCAGAGTGATCAATGGTGGTGATGGTGGTGGTGGGATTGTTGGGGATGAGAGGATGATCATTCAGATCTACAAATCAATTGTGATGGCTCAGGGCCAATTGGTGCCCCTTGATGCAGCCAGAATTGGCACCGAGATGGTCTGCCACCGGTAACTATAAGAAACACCCAAAAAAAAAAAAAAAAAATTGATTTCAAACCTTTTTTTTTGGGTTTTCTTTTAAATGCCTATATCTTGTATTAAGTCTTGCACCGATTAATTATCGGATTGGAATTAGTGCAGAAAATTGCAGCAAGGGTCTTAACACCCACCTTCAAAATCTGGACCAATTTATGTGTATTTCGATTAATTTTTTTTTCAATCCCATTAAAAACATACTATCTCCACCGAAATTAAAATATTTATAAATGATAATCTTAGTGCTTGACAATATTCGAACTCAGGATCAGGGACGGAGCTAAGATTTCCTCTTGAGGGGGGCCAAGTAGTGGTATAACATGATATTTTTATTTAATGTGGATCATTTAATTAGACCATTAATGTCTGATATTTATATGCATAGAATATATACGAATCAATCTTATACGATATAATATAATTTTAACTTTCAATAAAATGAATAAGTTAATCGAAACTAGTTGAATTATTAGATGTAAAAATTGAATCAATTACACAATTAGTAATTCAAAATAGTCTAAAATTTACAAATTTATCCAATATTAAAATTTACAGATTTATGCAAATTGACACAATTTAAATAGTTAATAAATAGTTCAGTGTGGTCTAATCTCTTTTTAAGATGATAAAATAAAATAAAGATTATAATTTAATGTATAAATTTTAATTTTAAGAATTTGAGTGATATATAAAATGTGACCAAAATATAATTTTAAGGGTGTAATATATAATTTCAAAAAGTTGAGGGGGGGCCATAACATAGTTCTGCCACTATGCAAAATGATGAATTTACAAATTATCCTTATTTTCGCTTGAGCTGCCCTTTTGATTTAAAGTAATTTTTTTGTGGAGCATTTTCATAGATTAACCATGCTAGGTAGGATAATGAATTCGCTAGAATCCACTGCCATTTTTTTTTTTATATAAGGTAGGCTTCACAGCTTGGTTTTACTTGAGAATACCTGGGTCGAAAAGAAGCATAAAAGGGTAATTTGGTATATACCTACCCGATATTAATGTCCAGTTTGATATGATGAAAAAATGAAAAGATCAAAAAATGACACAAACAAAAGTTGAAAGGGTGGAAAGTTGAAGGGATAAATAAAATATCATGTTTGGTAAAAAAATAAAATAGGAGGGATGAAAAAGTGGATGAATTCACTTTCTTTTCAACTAATCAAAATCAATCCCTTCAAAATCGGAAGGAAAATGAATGAAAAGTTAATTATTTGTGTTGAGATGTCTTATTTGTTGATATATTATGTATATATTAATTTTACATAAAAATACAATGATAAAATATGTATATGTATATAATAATTTTAGAAATACAAAAAAAAATTAAATTAAATTATTATTATTTTTTATCTTAACTAGAAGTGAAAATTTTCGACTTAATACGATGACACGACTCGAATTCGACACGAACTTGAAAATGACCTGACACGTGAACAAAAAATATAAAAAATTCATAATTTTATGACTCAATAAGGATCTGACACGACACGACTTGATTTTCACCCTTAAACTTAGCCAGCGCAAAAAAAAATTATAAAAAAAAATTAGTCATTTTTATTTTTCATCTATCCAACCAAACACAAAGAAAGGAAAAATGTCTCATTCCTACTTTTCATCCTTGAAAGTATATCCCTGCCCATTTCACCCCCAAAACAACTTCTAAATCCAATTCTGAGATCGAAAATGAATTTCTTGACCCCAAATTAACTAGATCAAAGCCCTCTTTAAAAGCTTAAACAAGTTTTTAACAAAATCACATTTTCACTTTTTTAAACCCTCACACCACCATTACACCACCACACCACCACTAAACAACTCTTCAAGGCTCCCCAAACTCAGTCATACCAAACAATTAACTCAAATCAAGCTCAAATCTCAAACTCATTTCAAAATTCAAAAACCCACTAAATTTTAAAACACAAATTCATGCATTAATACTAAATCAAATCAAAATCTAATTACATATATGAGTTCTTAACATCTATATTAGGCTCTGAGTATACCTCTTAATGCTCGAAGTAGTCTTTGCAAGAATTCGAAAATGCACAGCCTATACTTTCTCTCTCTAACTTCTCTTTCTCCTCTCTCTCTTCCCACCAAATCCTTCTCCATTTTATTCCCTCCAAGCAGCTGGGTGTCCTCCATACAGTTTGGCAAACCTCCATCAGCCACCTTGCAAGTGTAGAAGATCCTTAAAGCTTCAATGACATATTGGTAAATTCTCAATTTTGTCTAATTTTGAAAATTAATTAAAAATAATATTTTTTTTCACAATTATATATATATTAAATCAAGCATTATAAAATTATCTGTTAAATTTTTGTACATTGAATTGATCTTCAATTTGATCCACTAATGCAATTCCCGCATTTTTAATTCAACGATAGGCACTAATTTTATTTCATCCATTTATTCTTCCGAACTTATTTCTTTTTCACCAACCACATTCCTACACCTATCGGACCTCCTAACCATCTCCAAAACATTTATACACCGCACTAGAGTCATCAATTTACAGTCCGCCTATCTGTACTCTGAACCTCTAACCTCACACACCAATTTGAATTACACACACCGAGCCTCGAACCTCTAGTGATCGAATTCGCACAATAATCTCAATCGTTTCAATTTGTGCAATTTGAATAAGCCTATCTTTGCTAAATATTTTCTTAAAAAATTTTCCTCACCATAGTCATAACCTTAAAACACGTTAGAGACCTTCCTCAGCTTGGCACAACTCACAATACCCGACACTCGAAATCAGGGTTGTCACAATTGATTTCTTTTAGGGCGGATTGGATGAGGCTCTTGGANAAATTTTATTTTAAAGTTAATCTGACGATTAATATTAACATCCCAAATTTAATAAAATAAAATAGGTCTTTAAGGATATGTTTGAGATACATTTTTAAAAATATTTTTAGAATATAAATATTTTTTTTTTTAAAAAAAAGGAGTGTTTTGAACCACCCCCACCACTACCACTACCACTACCACTATCATTCTCACCGTGCCACCACCATCACCACCACCCCTCCACCATTGTCAGNCACAACTCACAATACCCGACACTCGAAATCAGGGTTGTCACAATTGATTTCTTTTAGGGCGGATTGGATGAGGCTCTTGGAATGACCCTTACTCCAAGGTGGCGAGAAGGAGGCTCTTGAATGACCCTTACTCGAAGGTGATAGAGGAGATTTTTGGATGACCCTTACTCCAAGGTGGCAAGAAGGAGACTCTTGAATGACCTTGCATACTCCCTGTTAATGAAGCTCCTTGATTCTTGATGAACTTGTCCGGGTTGACTACATTGGACTGGACTTGTTGAATCTCTTGGAGATGAGCTATAAACTCGGACCGAACTTATAATTTGAGCTAGGCCCATCAATTTAAGTTCGAGAAAGTGGTCAATGCAAGTCTAAACACCCAATAACAAAAAAAAAAAAACTTATTGTGTGATTTGAAAGTGATTTGGGTAAAAAGACAGGTTTGTAAGAGACACATTATCCACGAATATAGAAACTTACCTTGAACATTAATTTTAACTCTAAAACAAGATCATGCTGACATTCAGCAAACAATTTATCAACATATAAGTCCAAATTAGCTTCCCATCAGCTGAAATTTTCTGAATACTTATGAGGAGAAAAGATCAATAGATCAATCTTTGTAAGAACTTTGGGCCACTTGAATTGTTTTTTCAAAATTGGTAAAAAATTTCTAGCTAGTCCAAGTTGTCGATATTCATACTACCTCAAAATCATGCACATTGTTGGGTCAATTGGATCTTGAACCTATAGTTTCTGGATATTATGATATCAAATATCTTTCATTTAAATCATCCTCGAGTCTTTTATTTGTTTTTTTACGTAAGGTGTGAAGATATATTTTAAATATGTGGAACTGTGAAAGTGGTATTAGAACAAAAAATAGTGTTCAACTAATATAAATTAGCCTAATTGATGAGTAAATTTGCAAAACATAGTATTAGATTTGAACAAGCAAGCGTTGAAATGCCGCGACTGTGAATAGGTAGTGTAGAATTAATATAACATCCAGAAAGATAGTGAGCCTATGTAGTCTCTATCATCAAAAGAGTTATTGGGCGGGCAGTACAGAAGATGAGCAGTGCATTTGAATTATTTCACCGACTGATTAGTTGGAGCAAATCCCGTACTCACCATTACAACTTCGTCTAAGAATTTTGTTTTTGATATATCTTTTTGATTTGTTCAAACTTTAAAATTTATAACTTTGTGATATGAGTTGGGTTAATAGAAACTACTCTATTATGTGGTTGGAAGGAATTTGGGTCCGTGATTAGTCAATGATAAACACTCACATCATTTATATTATTATTTAAATATAGATCGGCTGTATTTGTGATTGTTTCCATCGATGACCACTTAGACCTACATTGTCATGATATTTGATGGTGCATAGATTTTAGGGCCCAAGCCCGATTATGACGGGATGGTGTTAAGAAATGGCTCTGCAAATCATAGATTTAAAATTAGTTAGACTAAGAATATAAGTGGTTCACCTTATCCGAAGGACTAAGCCTACGTCCACTATCAACGGAACTTCTTATTCACAGAATTTATATATTCATCGGTTGGCAAAATGCCTCTTCTAATTTGGGGACTCGCGGTCCACTTACAAAGGATAAAGGGCTAGGTATTCTCTCTTAATTTTCTGCGTTCTTTGGCTTTTTAGTGCTCATTGATCTTTTTTCGTGGGAGATCCAGTTCTTCTCTTGCCTGAGTTATCGTTATCCATTTATACTAGCTTCTCCTAGGTCATTCAGTTGTCATTTCTTCTGCCTCCTCCTGCTTCTCCTGCCACCACGACTGTTGTTCATCCGGCGTCCCTGTTCATCCGGCGCTATCGTTGCCATAATCTCTGGCGGCCTAGTGCTCCACCTTCTCTGAGATTGCCGTAGGTGTCAGGAGTGGTCCCCCTAAATCCCCAGGATTTGTGGTCCCCTCTGTCGATCCAAAAATTGTTTAGACTAGACTTTCCTTATCCTAACCGCTCTACGGTTTGGACTGGGCCTGGACAGCTAGGTTATAGGCTTTTTTTGTTGATGTTAGGTCCTCCTTTTCTGTTCTGGGTCTCTTGGCTTGGTCAGGCCTCTGGGCTTTCAAAACTCTGGCCTTGAGTTTCGTCCGCATCAATATTATTCTATA